CATACCGCGAAACGGCCAAACCGCAAGACAAAGCTTCTCGCCGAAGGCCTTCGGAACGCTCGCAGCCGGTCGGATCCTCCTGTCCATACGACCGCAGCGCCGCCGCGTACATCCGGGACCTTTCCGTGTTCGGCGCCTGATCCCACTACTCCTTTCTAGTATGCGCCGCCTTTTCCACCACTTGGTGGCAGGTATGTCGACGGGTCATTTCTTGTTCCCGTACTTTATAAACTGCATTCGTTTCTTTTCTGATCTAAAATACTTAACAAAAACTACTTTTATAAATAATCGAAACGGTTTGCGCTACTTATATTTTGTATTTCGACTAAAAAGAAGCTTTTAGCGGCTCTGACCAGTAGTAAGCCCAGGACCAAAGACGTCACATTTCGCGCGCTTTCGGTACTGGGGGTCGCCCTCGTCGGTGGAGGAGGTTTCCGCGTCGTCCGGTTAAAATATGACGCACTGGTATTTGGTCACTCTCTCCGTGCCCGCTGGCTTGCCCGAACCCCAAGAGACGTGGAAACCTCAAAAAAGGTAGACGCTTATATATGACCGCAGGGCTCTTAATGAGATGCAGCTTGTTGTAGATCTCCTCACACCACTCGGCTTGCCATTGTGCTCGTATGCGAGACCTTATACAGAAGGGCGATAGTCCATGTAGGGGATCCTTTTAATATCTACCTGTCTGCTAACGCATGTGCGGGCAGCACGGTCGGCCGCCTCATTGCCTGGGATACCAACATGGCTGGGAATCCAACAAAAGACAATAGTGTAATGCTTTCTGGCTGCAATAATTTTCTTCTGAACTATGTAAGGTTTTCTACTTATCGTTAGCAGTTACCTCAATATCCAACCATAAACATTAATAAAATTTGGAGTAGTGTAATTAAAAAAAGTTACTTAGAAGTCCGTACCCATAAGTGCGCGGGCACAGCGCTTACTTGTCTCAATATGGGAGAATGCAGATCGTTAGAGAATTCCTCTGGGGCCTTTTGTTTTCGGCTTAGAGTTTGAAATACCGAACTTGATATGTAATTGTCATATGTTTTATGTCAAACAGATATGCAGTGCATATACATATGGGTGGTTTCACCTCAACTCAGGCACGGATTTGGGGTCGAATTTTTAATTTTGACCAATAAAATATATGTTTTGGGGAAATCCCTTCTGTGACACGGAGTGCAAACCGAAAGTTCGGGCGATTGTTTGTGCTCGAGTTATGGTCATTTTAAGCAGCCGAGGCACAAACTGACATTACTCTTGCCTGTCGGAGGTGTCATGTTTCACTCGTTTCTACTTTTTGCCCTCTTTTAGTACTGCAATGTAACTTTTTTGGTCCACTCTCATAATAGGGATTATATATGCTCAATAATTTTATTGTGATCATTTATCCTCACTTTTGTTTTAAATATAGTCAAAGTGCGTCCCTTTGACAATATTTGTCAAAGTTTGACCAGCTCTTCCGTGTGACCTATTTGAGATATCGTAACATATTTAGTATTTTCAGGAAGCTAAGAGTGTACTCTTTCTATTGATAACAAATTTAACGTTGTGTGTAAAATAAAAAGGGCAGTGTATTCTCGTAAAACAAGGACTTCTTCAAAATATTGGCAAATTGGAAATCCATTTTCTACAAAAACCCACCTTTTATTTGCCTTTTTTTCTCTAGCTAGCTATTGCAGTGCTTTATAAAGTAATATAAATAGTAAATGTAACATTTTGTTTATATGGCAGCTATAAGAGCTTGAAATCTGATTTTGTTTGTCTGTTTTGTCAGTAAATCAACTTACTCGCAAAAATACACTAATTCAAAATTGGCACCCCTTATTATTTTTTTAACAGATACCTGTGAACACACTTATTGTCTGATAAATATTTTAACGCGATTATTTATATGAAATATATTTGAGAAAATTTGTCAATATGACGCTTTTGGACGATATATTTGTTAAAGTTTACCAGCTCTTCGATGTGACCTATATGAGCTGTTTTCCGAAAGTTTAGAGTACACTCCCTCTCATGATAACACATTTGATGTTGTGTGTAAAAGAGAGGGTGCAGTATTTTTTCGTAAAGCAAGGACTATTTCAAAAATTTGCAAATTGAGGGTCGATTTTCTAAAAAGCCTACCTTTTCTTTTGGCTAATTGTTTTTCTCTAGCTACCTATTGCAGTGCTTTATAAAGTAAAATAAACAGAAAATTAAATATTTTGTTTGTATGACGGCTATAAAAGCTTACATTTTGGTTTTTGTTCACTTGTCGCCCAGTAATACAAGTGACTCACAAAAGTACACTAACTCATAATTAACACCTCTGAAATTTTTAGTAACTACCTTTAAATTCCTTTAATAAAAGAAGATGCGAACGGCGAGTTATGCTAATAAAGCGTCTAGGTCATAATAAGTTTAATGTTTTTTTTTTTTTTTTTTATTGTCAAACCGTTTATCTGCAACAATATTTGACGAAGTTCAGCAGGCTGTGCTGTGTGACCTAATCAATATATTTTTATGATCTTTAAACCACCGTAAATCTACAATTAAGCTCTTTCTTTTATATATAATTTGAATATTTTGCCCAACCTATAACGCGGAACATTTGCTTGAAAAACGTTGTAGTATCCCTTTAAGCTAACATATTTTTGTATATCAAATTATCAATATATTGAACTACTTTAAGATTCCCTTTGATTTCGATATACATGGATTCGACTGTATTTTCTTTCTACGCAAAGTAATTCATGGCCACATAGATGCTCACCTAATAAGCTATGTACATTTTCCTACAGCTGCTCGCTTTTGTAGACACCACTCTATTTTATCCCTTCCTTTAAAGGGATACTTCAACGAAATTTGAAATTTTCCCGTCGTGTTCAAAAATAGGTTCAATATGATCCACAATATCCGTAAATGACAATCGCACGTTTGTATTTTGAGCCTGGTGGCTGTATTTTTCGTTATAAACGGCCCACTCTGGCAAGCGCTCGGAGAAAGCCCAGCGGAGACCACGTGACATCCGATGCAGTCGAGACGTAGGTCGTCTCGGGACGATCAAAGCTACGGCGAGGCTGACGTCGAGAGGATGGCCTAGTCGTTCCAGCCACCAAAGCGGCTGCTTTTGTACGAATTTTGGGTGACGGGTTAATCTTCTATAACCCTTCTAGGGGGACAATAGCGACTTCCGCGACACAAAAGGCATTCTCGGGAAGAGGGGAGTTCCTCCTTCCCCTCTTCTCTCGTCGTGGCCGGAGGCGAGACAACCTCCGTCACTAGCTGTCAAGGTTCCTAGACGAGCATTACAAGCAAGGCGTTAGCGACATCCACAAGGTGCTTTTTGCTAATCGTTTAATTCGTTTTAAAATTCCTTTTCGTGACTTTTTTAACAAGATATTGGTATGTTCGATGTGATGCTGCTCCTTTGAACACATATAGACCAAAAAATGAGCGCCGAAATTTCGTTGTAGTATCCCTAAAAAACAATATTACAATTAATTCGCATGCAACTCTAATTTAACGATTTAGAGTATCCATGCTTGGACATTTTTGATGAAATGAACACTTTCAAGTATAAACTGTTTTGTTAACTCCATGTTCAAGACTCTTTTGATGACATAGACCATTTTCTTTCTTTTTTTGTGGGAATTTATGTTAGGAAAAATGTGTTCATGGCTTATTTTTTGTTACTTTTTCTGAGAAGCATGAGTTTTTTCTAGTGCAATCGTTTTGTGACATTTATTTGACTTTCCCGTGATGAGTTGGACCTTTTTCATTTTATATCATCTGTGAAAGTGTATGAATAGTATCTTAAATTTTATATCTTGTGCTACCACATCCAAACCGCGAGGTTTTTCTGGGGCACGAATAAAGAAATATTATTATAGACTGCAACAACAAATGAAAAGTCATGTGCGTCATTCGTCGCAATTTCTCTTTAACATTCGAGATTTGAGGAAGGGTGCTATAGGGCGTAGCTAGAGGGTCTCCAAACAAAATAGACAAGGTATACCAAATCCCTCATTCAACTAACCACCTCCACACAATATGAGGGCAGTCAATGAAGCTTAAAATAAGAGCAGAATTATTGTAGGCATGGAAGCTTGTGAATGAGATCAGCTATTTCTTAGACAAATATCGCCCCCATGCTGATTTTCGATCATCATAAAACCGATTATAAAATACCACGGGTGTGCATAATCAAACGAGACGCTTTGATATTAAACTGAATTAAGAATCAGAATTTTATTGCAACGTTTAGAACCCAGTGTTCAATTCATCACCAAAATTATTCTATCTAGAGATTGTTTCAGTGGAATACTACTGCAAAACCCTTTAGTTTAGCAGCCCTGATTTTTCGCGAATTGGGCAGGACGGTCATATTCGCGACCATTAAATTCCGAATTTTGCAATTCACAAAAATTAGGGGCTCGCATATGTTAAGGGTTTAACAGTATTTGGTACACCTTTGGTTTCCTAACTAAAATAACTACTAACTACTAAAGAATGCTCATTCTATGACCTTTATCAGTCAGCACATTTGGAGAGTGACTGCTGAACAATGAGGCTTTTCAACCTAGAGAAATTAATTTCTCATTCTTCTAGGATTGTCTGGTACTTAAAAAAATCACATAAAACTTGCCAAACCAATGAATGCTAATAAGATATCACATAGGAATAACAGTGTATACACAGTGGAATTAATAAGATATGAATATGTACTTTTTCTCTAAAAGTAATTTTTGCTGCTCCAAGATGAACCAGTCAAATCACTGTAAACTACAATGCCCTTAAAATGTGTGGCTTGGAGCTGCAAAATAAGAATGCGAAGCAACAAGCCTTGAAGAATAACTAAGTTTATTGATAACCCAATAACACAGCAATACAGGCAAAGGAAGCTTCACATCCCTGAGCATTTTTCTGCATCAAGCTCAGCAAAGTGACAATACTTTTTTTTTTCTTTTAAATATAAAAATCTTAAGATGGGGCTTGCAAAAATGAAGACAAAATCAAGGTTCAATTTCCAAAAACAAGTGCAGCTTGTCGTTTTGAACAAACCCATCCTCCTCTAGCTTTTCTGCAGTAGACAGGCGTGGTCTTCCGAAGCCTCTATTTCCTTTTGGCTCATGAAAGCATGGTTCATCCTCATACCAACCAGCATTTACCTTGAAGGAAATCACATCTGATTGATCCTTGGGGTGAATGACGCCGATTGTGTACACATTACAGAAGGGCCATTCCAGCCCCACATCATGTTCCCCGGGATTTAAATGCATGTAACAGCCGAACCGCAGCTGGTTGTCTTCTGGTTGAAGCACAATGCATTGGGAGACATTATAGCCATGTACGGTCCTTATGGGACTATAAAAGTCCTTGTACCCAGCTTGCACTGCTTGCTTCTTCAGTTCTGCCCATTTCTCAATGTACCAATGTACCGTCTTAGGTCTTAGAACTACAGACAACTTGGCTCTTTGCAATTGCAACTCCTTGCTAACATGATCTTTGTAGTCGGTCACTGCTGCCTGGAGAACCTCCAGTTCCTTCGCAAAGCCGGTGGTACACACTAAGCTAAGGTCTTTGAGCTGTTCAGTAAGCCTAGAAGCTTCAGCCCTCCATTGGCCCTTGCATTTTGTACCCTCAGCTCCAGCATCTTCACCGCACTGGTTCAGGCTGGTTTGCAGCAACATGAGGTTCTCAGAGATGTTCCCCATGGCTTTCCTCATCTCAAGACAAGCATTGCTGATGATCTGGAGATCTTGTGTGGAATGGTCGTCGGCAGACTCACACGTGTCTCGGCTACAGCCAACCTTGAAGTGCTCCAGAATGTTGCTCTGCAGCACCGACGAGGAACAAAGGCAGCAAGACAGAGTGCTGAACTCGCATTCTTTGTAGTGGTCCAAAAGGCAGGCTACGGGGCTGATGAAGCTGCAGCCTCTAGGCGCATTCCAGCAGGCAACCTTGGCCAAGAAGTATCAAAGATGTAAAAATAAGTGCCTTGTTCAACCAATGTTTAGTTTTGTTTTATTTATTTCCTTATTTGTAGTGTCAGCCCATTGAGGGCTGTTACAGGGGTATAGAACTAGGGCGGTTTCATTTGGATTCAGGCAACGAGTGGCAGTCATATTTTTTATTTTGCTGCACATTTTTATATTTCGTGGCGTATGTTCCAAGAATAAAAATCCTTTTTATTTTAATGTCCTGGACACGTTTAGTTTCTGAGAAAAAAAATCTAAAAAAAAGCGGGAAAGAACGACGAGGTTTTGACGATTGTCGTGTGTGGCGTTTTTTAATTACTCTCAATTTCAAAGTATTTAAAAGAGAGTGTCTATATTTTTTTAGTGTGATGTATATGCAAGTAGATAAGACGACATTACAACTACTGTTTATTATTCGTCGCTCCAATCTTAGTAAAAAATCCCCAAACATGCCTCCGCGAACAACTGTGACCTAAATGGCGAATTTTGTTTTGAGTCAACTATGTTTAGTATCGCTTTTAAAATAGTACCACGTGTATAACAGTACGGGTTCTTTCGTTGCTCGGTCACCTTGCGCCGTCCGGGTTGCCAGGTCCGGATGGGGTGACGGATTTCGTTGCGGGAAGCTGGGCGGGTCTTGCCGGAGACGATGTTGCTTCCCTTGGCCGTCGACGACTAATTCAGTTGAATTTCGGAATTACTTTTCAATAAACAATTTAATACTTTTGTAGGGAATGAAAATACAAAGATAAACGATACCGCGAAGTGGTAACTTCCCCTGTACGGGGTTGGGAAGGAGGTGGTCGGGTGTTAGCTTACCCAAGCTCGGGAGTTGGCTGGCTCTTAGGATTACGTCCCAATTGCGGGGACAGAAGTCCCTCGGAATCCCACGACCTGACTCGATTACGGAGCGACAGCTCTCGAGCCCCAGCACGAACTAAACTCACTCGCTGAGTTTCCCATCCAAGTCGCTCGCTGGTCCGTCCCCTTTTAGTGGACCGGCGAATCCTCGATGCGTCGTGAGACAGGCCTTTCCCACCGCCAACCAATCGGCTCACTTTCTCGCCACGTGGCAATTGCCTATATTCCTGGGTGGGAACCCACTGTCTGCGTACATCTCACGGTCAAAGGTCGGGCTGGTTCGGATGCAAGCAAAACCATTTCTCGGAAGGCGAAGCGAACAACCGACCCCAGTGTGGATAGCTCCGACTAAGTGAGCCATCCCGTAATTCATTCCGCCAGACACGGTCTGACGTTGCCGTTCTGCCGTGACCCTCCCCACACTCGGGCGAGAAAAACTAAACCGATGTAAACGTGCCGTATAAACAGCGCTGGCCAGAGCCACTGCGCTCTGGTGGCGGTGTAACTTTACTTTTCCGGCCCGGAACGCACGCTCCGATTTTCTTGGCAAAAAATGCGCGCTCCGCACCTCGCGTCGTAAAGTACTATCGCGGGCAATATGAGCTGAAACAGCGCTCCGGCCTGTGCACGGTACTACCTGCGCCGCCTATCGCATCGCTCCCGAAACACGGCGCACGCTGAGGCCGAGATAAATTATCACTTGCGCTCACTGCGCCACTGCGCTCTTCCGGCCGTCTGCTAGCCCAATGTTCGTCTTCAGCTACCATGAATTTCAGTGCAATTTAAAAAAGCGCCGAAGTGGAAAATGCGCTGTCACGCTCGTAACTCCTCGAGGAGCGCTGCCTGACGAAGCTGCCTTGGCCCCTAAAAGGAGCCGATCTGAATATCATCGAAAACATTTGGAGGCGTATCAAGGTAGCTATGTCACGGCTTCCCCTCCACCGCGCCACTGCCTACTGAAAAGCAATGGGAGGTGAATGGGGAGTGGCTTCGGGGCTGAGCCAGACTTCGTGGCCGCGCTCTATGATTTCTTACCAGACAGGATGAGAGCCGTGGTCGGGAGTCAAGGGAGAATGACGCGGTATTAAATTATTTTGCAAGTTTTACTGCGCCTCGGGACCCCCTGAACTGGACTCTTGCCGATTGGAACAAAGCTTGATGCTACGGTTGCGACACACTGTTTGACGCCGTTAACCACGCATACTTTTGAGGGGTGCCTCCTTCATCCCGATCTTCTTGTATAGTGCAGTTAAACTTCCACGCCGACTATTAATCTTTTGTGTCTGACAATGTCCTCTGGAAATATTTTTTTCGATTAAGTTTCAATCTCCTTCTCTTGACAAATATATGACTGTTTGTCCCACCTTATTAAGACTAGGAATTCGTAAACAAAAAACTGGTGTCTCGTCAGCAACTTGCTTTGCTTGAAACAAACACGTGGGCCCAGTAATGAAGAAATAATATTTTTATACCGTTTCATACTAATCAAGGTTACAAAACCTTCTCAGTAACTTGTATGCTTACCGTTTTTTGAACATATGTGATCAGTGAAAGAGAAAAAAAGAATAAATACATTGGAGCCGGACTAAATCCGGCATACAGATTTTGGACTGTATTTTACGGTGTCCCCTTTTATGCATGCACCTATAATCAAACAAAAACAGCCTGCAGCGTATTTTGATATGACTTTCAAAAACGGTAATTGCAGTTGAAATTTTAAGACACTTCAATATTTTTTCTTCACCAGTCAGCGTTTTCTCTACGGGATTTTACGCGATAAAGTAAAGTAAATCAATACCAAAAGGGGAACGACAAGTGTAATCTTTTGTTCCCCCCGCCGCCCTGCTACACATGCCCGCTGTCGCGCCCACCCTCTCGCTTGCAGACAGCCGGAAGAGCGCAGTGGCGCAGCGAGCGCAAGTGAGAAAATATCTCGGACTCAGGGTGCGCCATGTGTGCGGAGCAAGGCGACAGGCGGCGCAGGTAGTACCGTCCGCGCCTCTGCGTCCGCCCAGTTTGGCCAGTCTATGATCTCGCCGCCGTAACGCTCTCCTCCCAAGTGAGCCAATCAGCACGCGGCGTGGAGCGAGAGGCATGAACGCATGCGCGTGAACTCCCGGCTGCTCCCACCTGAGTGGGGAGGGCCGCCATCTTCGATCATTCTCCCGGCGGAATGCGTGGGATCGACATCTAAATCTCGATTATTGCCTTTTATATTGCTGGCTCTGGCAAGAAAATGACATTCTGTTATTTCTCGGTGGGTTAAAAAGCTAATAAATGAAGATTTTCGGCGTATGGCCACAAAGTTTTATTCAGGCGGAAAAGAAGCCGGCCCGTAGCAGACGACGCGTAGCCTCAGCAGTGCTCTTTTCCGACCAGTCTCCGACGGCGTTGCTAAAAAATGGCGGTCGTCTCCTCTCTGCTCCCTTATTTCTCTCTCGCTCCTTCGGCGCTCTCCTCCCTTTCATTTACTTTTCTCCTCTCCGGCGCCTTCGTCGCCACACCCACTAGCCAAACTCTTCCAATATACGGCTCTGCGTCCGCCTAGAGTAACTGTATAGACTATAACTGTATAAGCGGAGCATATACAGTTACTCTACGTCCGCCGGCCGAGCGCTGTTTCAGCTCATATTGTCTGCGATAGTACGCCTGTCTCTCGAGGTCGCCTGCCACGGGAAGTGTTTACACCAGCGCTTTCCTTCCAGCCAAATCTCCCTGGTGCTAACGGCCCAACCGCGGAACCCTCTTCGATCCTTACAATAACCTTTCATTGTCTTCCAAATTAAGCAAAGTTTGTGTTTTTGTCATGGAACAGAGAGGGTTTTCACTTTTCGTTCAATTTCAGCACGCTGTATATAAAAAAAAAACATTTTTAATTTTTTTTATTTTCCTCGCGTCACATTCTCTTCACACCCTTCTTTTAGCCATAATACATTACGTTAGAGGTATTTGCCTTGGTTTTGAGTTTTAAGCCTCTAAATGTGCTAAGAAAAAGAGCAAATGCCGATGGTGGGTTTTGACGACTGTCGTGTGTGGCGTTTTTGTACCACTCTCAATCTCAAAGTATTCAAAAGAGAGCTTCTATATTTTTTTTATTATGATCTATATGGAAGCCGGCAAAACGACATTCCAACTACTATTTATTATTCGTCGATCCAATCTTTGTCAAAATCCCCAAACATGCCTCCGCGAACAACTGTGACCTAAACTGCGGATTTTTTTGTTAGTCGACTACGTTTAGTCTTGTTTTTAAAATAATACCACCATGTAGAACCTTTCATTGCCGTCAAAATTATGTAAAGTTGGTTTCTTAATCGCGTACGAGTACTGAGAAATAAATTATGAAACAGAGTAGGTTTTCACTTTTCGTTTAATTTCAGCACGCTGTATAAAAAAATATTTTTCTTTTTTTTTTTGCGTTTTCTTTACACCTTTCTCTTACCCATAATATATTCCGTTAGAGGTATATGCACTGGTTTTGAGTTTTAAGCCTCTGAATATGTTAGAAAATGATTCGGTACTGTTATCAACATGAATTTTGCTTTAGAAATATAAAATTTCGTATCTAAAAATCTAAGTTTCCAATAGGAAGTGCATTTTACTCTAATGTTTTACAATATTATACTTTGATATTTTTTAAGTAGTATAGATTATGTAGCGCATAGGGTTTAGGCTTGAGGACCCTTCAATCATGGCACCAGCGGAAATTGTCTTATAACCAGCTTTCGGCAGTTGCAATTTTATAGTGTTTAGACGTTTGGAATAGACCTTTTTCCAGTAAGCGTCTGCGCACGCGCACACCCTTTTCCCTTGACCTTGACCACCCTTTCGCCATTCTTGGGGGGCACTGTTTTCTTCCAACACTAATCTGTTCCTATGGGAGAAGGCGAGTCCGGTTGCCCTCCATTTGTAGTTGGCGGCGAAACCGTCATGAGGCGCTCCTTACTGGAAAAAGGTCCATTGCAAACTTGTTATTATACGCCTAACAACATGCATGTCTTTTATGTGAGTATTTATTCAACGTCCCTTAGAATATTATAATAAACAATGAAATATACAGCTGTAACCCATAAACCCATCATCAGCTTTTGCTCTTTTTTAGCATATAACATTTTGTATGCTGGCTAAAAGAAAGGTGAAAAAAAAACGCAACGCAAACAAATTCAAATTTTTTTTTTTGCAGCGAGCTGAGATTGAATGAAACCTGAAAACCTTCTCTGTTTCACAATTTATTTCTCAGTGCTCACACGTGATTAAGACACAAACTTTCCATAATGTGGAAGGCAGTGAAAGGTTCTACACGTAGTATTTTTTAAAAACAAGACTAAACGTAGTCGACTAACGCAAAAATACGCAGTTTAGGTCACAGTTGTTCGCAGGGGCATGTTTGGGGATTGTGACAAAGATTGGATCGACGAATAATAAATAGTAGTTGGAATGTCGTTTTACCGACTTGCATATATATCACAATAAAAAAATATCGAAGCTCTCTTTTGAATACTTTGAGATTGAGAGTGGTTCAAAAACGCCACACACGAAAATCGTCAAATCCCATTGTTTTGCTGTTTTTTTTAGCATATTTAGAGGCTTAAAACTCAAAACCAAGGCAAATACCTCTAACAGAATATATTCTGGCTAAAAGAAGAGTGTAAAAAAAAAACGCGACGCGCGAAAAAAAAAATGTTTTTTTTTTTTAAGCAGCGTGTTGAAATTGAACGAAAAGTGAAAACACTCTTCGTTTTATAATTTATTTCTTAGTACTCGTACATGATAAAAAAATTTGCTTAATTTAGAAGGCAATGAAAGGTTCTACACTTGGTATTAATTAAAAAGCGACACTAAACATAGTTGACTCAAAACAAAATCCGCAATTTAGGTCACAGTTGTTCGCGGAGGCATGTTTGGGGATTTTTATAAAGATTGGAACGACGAATAATAGTAGTTATAAATATAATGGTCGTCTTATCTACTCGCATATATATCACACTAAAAAAATAAAGATGCTCTCTTTTGAATACTTTAAAATTGAGAGTGATTCAAAAACGCCACACACGACAATCATCAAAACCTTATCGTTTTTTCCCGCTTCTTTGAGATTTTTTTCTCAGAAACTAAACATGTCAGGACATTAAAATAAAAAAGGATTGTTATTCTTGGAACATGCGCCACGAAATATAAAAATTTGAAGCAAAATAAAAATACGACTGCCACTCGTTGCCTGAATCCAAATGAAAACGCCCAACTACATATGAAAAGCATATACCGATACAAGGAAGAAAAAAGAATGAATTCAGAGCAGGACTGGACCAAGAAGGAGCAGAATCCGAGACCTTCTCGGTACCTTCGCTAGACCGGCCATTTCCACCAAATGATACGGTGATTATGAAGTGATTTAATTAAACTGAAGAGAGAAATTAAAAATGGCGACTCTACCAAAACTTTTGTGAAACTCTGCTTGAACTCCTTGATCCAGTCCTGCTCTGCCCTCATTCTCTTCTTCCTTCCTTGTATCAATGTATCCAACTATCACTGTTTAAAAGCATCACAGTTAATACAGTAACAGCCTCTACACAAATAAATATTTAGCACTATCTAAGAAACACTGAGAATTGTAGAAAGTTAGATCTGCACATATTAGCAAGTTATAGCATAGCATGCAGAAAAGCTTTGAGTACACAAAGAACAGTCTCGTTGCCACTGCGCATGTGCCAAACGCTAACCACGTTTTCTGCATTGTGGCCGCAATTTGTTTGTACACTAATTTTTAGAAATTGAGTGTGTGGAAAGGTCTTTGCGTTATTCCAAGGAGGATTTGAGATGCATGAAAAGTTGGCTGAACCCAAGACAAGCACAGTCGGAAAACGGCGACTCCTAAGATTGGGGCCGTCGTGAGCACAACATTGGTGGTGTTTTTGCAACCTAGATTTTCACTACAGGATGATATTGCACTCCTATGGGAGGTGGCACGCCATAAACATTTTGGAAGGTCTAGAAAGGTGGGCAATGATCGCCAGCAATTTGCAGCTTGCAAAGCATAAACGCTTCTCGACACAGGTCAGCTCTCGCCGAGGCAATGCCAGCGGACACGGCATGGTCGACCACCTACATCGCGTTTTCAGATTTAAACAAGCTTAAAATGTTACTCTGGACCACAATTTTTTTTGTTCTCATGCTACAGCATGAGAACTAATTTAATAAAAAGAACAACCAAGCTAGCTTATAATTTATACGCTAGCTTCGGCTAGCTTATAAATTATAGTCAAGGAACAGAAAAAAACATGTAAATGTTCTTTCTTGATCTGCTTTATGTTGGCAAACAAAGCATTGTATTTACTCTGTTTGCGTCATATGTCGTTGTAGCTCACTTTATCTGATTTTCCAAGAATGAGGTATTCCCCCATACCCAAGAGAAGAGAAGACAGATTGAGTAATAACTGATTTTACAGGTGATCACTTACTTTACGGTTCAGGATGTACTTGAGGGAGACTTCCAGCGGCTCGACATCATCTTCGGAGAACGTTTGCTGGTCCACAGGACATGCACCTCCTTCATCGATGCACTGTGCGTGACACTTCACACACAGCGTGTGGACACAAGGGAGCCTGACAGCATTTTTGTATAAGACGCCACAAAGCGCACATGCTCTCTGTGCGATGATGGGCTCTTGAAACAGCATGGGCCTCCAGTCAAGGACGTCAGAGAATCCGGCTACTCTGAAAGATGCCATCTGCACCTTGGTACAGTCGCCATCACCCATCCTTTTGTCGGTATAGCACAGGAATATGTATTTCGTGAAGGTTTCTTCTTCGGAAGGGCTATGGAAGAGATTAGCAATTATGAGCAAGACTTCATAAAGCCTCAGAGAAACTATGTGGAAACTCTAATAAAACAACAACAAATTGCTAAAAAGATATAAAAAATCACTAGGCAATCAGCAAAGGACCAGCTATCCAGATGCTTTCGGTTTCACATAGTACGACAGATTTGGCTGCAACATGAAAATGGTGGCTCCTGAATATGTATGTATCTCTGTGGCACATTCTATCTGGATGAAGTCAATAAAGCATGCAACATTCTTTAAAACAAATGAAAAAAATAAAGAAATGAAACATGTCAATTTTCAAAGTTCCACATGTTAATTGTTCCCCAAGTCTTGAATCTCTGCATGGTGCACATCACAATACTATGGTATTTTGCAAAAGCAAGTGCTTGTTTCACCTAGGTGCCGATGTCTGACACAAATTGTGACACATCTCCCAAAACGTCTTCAGGCCACGATAGTATCCCTTTTTTTATTGCGAAAGGCTGCGAGGAAATTTCGCTCCTCTGCTCGCTCACATATTTACACTGTCCTTTAAACAGATCCCTTTCCCGTGCACACAGTAGAAGGGTGTTGCGATTCTATTACTGGAATTAGGAAGACCTACCTATGTGCAAACTACAGGCCTATTTCCTTGTTACCGCCATTTTCTAAAGTTTTCGAAAAATCCATTCACAAGCATCTATCTAACATCGTCAAGCGATTCATACACTAAAATCAGAACGGCTTTATGAGCGGTTGTTCGGTTGAAACTAACATTGTAGTTTTTCTGAGCGACAGGCACCAAGCGTTAGCTGTCGCAAACAAAACTGACTCACTATATTTAAATTGCACCAAGGACTTTTGGTTGGGTTAGCAATAAGAATTTTACTGTGTAAATTATAATTCTACAGCTTAAGTACTGATTATGGTTCATGGTTATCTAGGTACCTCTGAGATAGGTTAAACTATGTTTTTCATAAAAGTGCCAAGTCACCTTTTTTGGGGGGTTCCTTCATAAGTGTTACAGGGCTTGAACCACAGTCCCTTACTCTTCAATGTTTTTGTGAACAACATTCAGGATGTGATACAGCACTCCACTTTGCCGACAATATGAAGTTAAATCGCAGACTACGATGCTTAAGGCCACGGTCCCACTGAATGTGGCAGTTTAGGTACTTTTTGACAGGTCATTACTCATCTCCTTTTAAATACTGTTTTGTGGGATTGATGTCATTCGAAAGGCAATGCAGTCCTCTTTCATTTGATATTATGTGTGTGTTGGTTTTTACTGTTCATGCGCATTTGTAGCGTTGCAAATATGATGTCGCGGACCCTCACTTGCACCGCTAGTTCATGTTTTATGAACGATCCATTAAAGATAACACGGTTCCAATATAGCAGTTTTGTTAAGATGATGTTGGAGCAGAATGTAACGATGCACTTTTTTGGTATTTGCACTACTTTGTTTTTTTTTTCATTCCTCCAAATATTGCCCTAAAATTGACATTTTTCAGCACAAATATGTTTTTAATGACAAGCGCTAGGGCAATGAAATTAGCTACAGATGTAGTGCTTATAATTGGTAATATGCAGAAAAAAATTTTATGTTGCGTAACATTTTTTTGTTTAGATATTTTATATCAAACGTAGCACTTTTTGGTGCTTGAGTCATGGTACTTCAAATGCCGCTGAGGAAATAATTAAACTGTGATAAAATCTTTTATAACATTTAGAGCTACAATGGTTGCCCAAGAGGTGGACGATGGCTTTTTTTCATTTTCAAAGTCATAACGCTCCAGGAGCCCTTCAAACATACCTGTTTTTGACGCACATCTTTTTTGGACATAAAACAGATTTATTGGCATCTAATAACATTTATTGTTTGGAATAGATATACATTGCAATGTATTACATTTTCATAATGATATTGCTTTGGTTTTTTAATAGGTGTAGAGCTTAGTAAATTTTAAAAACAATTAAAAACTGTTTGGGCGTTTTGTTGCGCTACCTGGCGGATGGTAGACAAACTGCTGAATTCTAATGTTCAAAAAAATTTCCGAAGGCGGCGTTGGCGTCTGTATCATCATCAATCTCCGTGTCTTTTTACCTTCACATTAAAAAAATATATTGGAAGATTCACTATCGATAAATAAATGGTTTAAGTACTCAGTCAGGTTAATAAATCTAAGACAAATAATTACACAAGCGTAGCGTGATATAATGTGTTCATTATTCGATATGATTGAAATCAATAAACAATAAAGACGAAGAGGAAAAGAATACACCCGAGTTCACTTCATGCCTAGAGTCACTAAATGAGTTTTAAAGAATCGGCACTACGTTCCCCAAGATTGTTTTGGGCGCCGCCATTTTGGGTCTTGTTCAGAGCAAACGCAACGGCCGATTGTCATGATCCAAAAGTACGACTTCCTCAGCATTAGATGCGGTGCTAGGAAGCTGATGCAATATTGCAATGCTCTGTCACGGGTTGTTTAAACATTTGTGGGGTACGGAAAAGCGTTTCCTGTTATCTTAGATAAAGCTTCAGATAACTGGCAACCATGATTTTAAGCCACAATATGGCCAAGTGTCTTTACTCTGAACCGTAGCTAATTTACTGGCACAAGCGGGAACAATGAGGAAGAGGCAGGTGTCAAAAAGTAGTAGAGGTTTGTGGAATCCACGGGGCTTACGTCATGGCCCCTCCAGGTATTACAAGCCTCTTGAACAAGTGCATGAATAATGTCTTAAATAAGCTACACTCTAGAGTAGCGACACTTGGCCTTATTGTGGCTTAAAATCACGGTTGCCAGTTATCTGAAGCTTTATTTGAAATCACAAGAAACTCTTTTCCGTCCTCCACTTTAAACAGTATGCGACAAAGCAAAGCAACATTACATGAGCTTCCTAACACCGAATCTAATGCTGAGGATGTCGTACTTTTGAATCATGATGATCGGCAATTGCGCCTGCTCTGCACAAGCACCAAAATGGAGGCGTTCACAACACTGTCGGGAAAGAGAGTGCCGATACTCTAGGCGCCGCTCATTTATTGGCTCTAGTTCCCGCGAAACTCCTTTTCCCTGACTGAAACTGAAACTAAATACGAATAATAAACCATTACTATAGCTTATTTAGTTATAACCAGCTACACATAATGAGAGGAGGAAGCGGCCGGGTAGGAGAAACTCGGATTTTACGTGCGACCGTTCTAACCGTCTCAAAAGAGAGAACGCGCGAGCTTTCGCTGGTTTAAAAAGGGCATCCAAAAAAAAAAAAGAGGCGGCACGCTGTGTTCCTTGTTATTATGCGTCTAATTGCAAATTGTTGTGTGTATGTTTAAACAGCCGGAAGTTAGGCGTCTGGTGTCTCAGCTGTAGATGAGCAAGTTAGCCAGTGCGGTACAACCGCTAACCTGGGGTCTTTAACGTGCACCACGCAGTAGGGATACACGACCGCACGCCGGTACGATGCTCATCCAAATCGAAACGGGCAGGGGCGAGGTGGGTTCTGCAGCGCGAGCTTTCGCCCCAAGCGCTCCGAGCTGATGTGCGCTAGACCATGCACTCGGCCACCGACTCCCACCCCCTTTGTGCGTCTAATTTATATACAGCTATAAGTATTTGAAGATCGACGATGGACGTCGATCGTCTCGAGGTAATGTAACGTAATAACATCATATAAATAATAAATTTGTTGAAGGACTGAACGACTCAATTTTTCAATTCTTGGATTGTAATGTGGCAGCAGCCTATTGTACTTACTGTTGATGAAGAGCAATATGAGGTGACGAGGTAATGATTAAATGATGAGGCTCTATAAGGACGACGATTTTAGTGGGTGTCGAACCACAATGTACAGTGCCAGACTTGTTTCAAGTATCGTGTACCCAAAGACATTCTTCACCCGCAACAGAGTATGGTAGAATCAATGAGGATGCTGCTTTACAACTGTTCGTGGAACAGGAAAACTGCACTGTGCAGAAGTGCGGTTTATTCGTTAATATGAGGGACGGAGTTCTAGCAGCGGTCCCTGATTGACTACTTGGAACAAATGGCCTCGTTGATGTAAAGTGTCCCCGTTAAAAAAGATTCTTGAAGCATACTTAAACCGCAAATACAAGGGCAGTTACACAATACACAAAGAGAGTTTTGTGATTTAGTTATATTTACACTCAAGGGCATTGATATCCAACGTATTCAGAGGGATGACACCTTCTGGTCAACCAACATAGAGCCTTTTCTACCCAAGTTTTACATGGAAGGCCCGACTTCTGCTGAAATTCCTCACGTAGACGAGTTGTCCGACCGAATAAACTGCCATTACTCCCGATCTGGGAATCTCCCGATCTTCGTTCGTAGGCCATAGTATCATGAGATCGAGGTGTGTGGCTCTTCGTCCGCCGAATATTGCTTCGGCGGGTGTTTTTACCCTGTAATATGAGACCGTCGCGTGCTATACTGGAACAAGAACCTGGCGATTCTTCAATAAACTGCTTCTTCCGTAAGCTTCAAAGGGGCATTTTTCCGTTTCGCACACCATCTGTTCTGCTTGCCCGTTAGTTGCAGGATGGTATGGTGCGCTAAATAGGAGGTAAAAGCGCTAAAAAACGACGGACAAGTTGAAGAATGACGAACACCACAGAGCGCTAACTTGCAACTGAAGTTTATTACTGAAAACACGTACACATATATACACCGTGACATCAAAAAGACAAGTGGCAATAATGCCGCTTCATCTATCTAAGGTTAATCTATGAATTGTTTACTCTTTCGAATGATTTCAAATATGCCACCTCAGAGCTATACAGGTTTACTGAGGGAGCGCTGACACATATGCCCTGATCGTAGCGCTTTTACCTCCTATTCATGAATAACCAACTAGCCCAAGTACACACCCTTCTATGGTGCGCTAATGTGATGCCTGATGCCGGTTTTTTTTTTTTTTTCTTCAAAAACTAGTTTATTTTATTTGAAGCAAGATTTGGCGCGTTATCAGAGAAAAGTATTTTCG